AGCAGCCCTGCCCCTGCCTGGGGGCTGGCCAGCAATGGCAAACCAGGTGGCACAGATGGGGGCCCGTGATGGCCCCTGCAAGCTCACTGGCCTCAAGAACAGTCTGACAGAGGTTCCCACTCACAGGTCCTTGTCCCAAGGCTGTGCACTTGAGTTAGGGGATCTGAGCTGCTGTGTCACAGAAAGGTCTCCAGAGACCATCCTTGGGAAGGACACGAGAAAAATTATTTCCTGAGCATCTACTATGTGCCAGGGGCCATGCTAAGCACTTTCAGAAACACAGTCTCACTCAGTTCTCATTATTACCCCCAGGGAGGCTCAGAGAGTCTAAGGAACTAGCCAGGGTAACACAACCAGGAAATTGCAGTACTGCGGCAGGCTGTTCTTTCTGCAGCCATAGGCAGCTTTAAGGTCCTGCAGGCACAGCCATCACCCATGAAACCCGGACATCTGAATGGATAGCCCCAACAGCTTTGACCACAGAACCCTCTGGGATCCTGCCTTTGAAAGCTTGCTGGACAATCTAAGATGCTGCCATATTCACCAGCTCAACAGCCCGGGCACAGGTGGCTGGAGGCCTGTGAAGGCAGGAGCCTCAGGCAGCGGTGTCAGATGGAGGGAGCCTTGGACGTCACTGAATCCAAACCCCTCAATCTATGGGAAGCACACAGAGGCCTAGAGAGGGCAGGCACTGGCCCAGGCCACAGAGCAAACAGGAACAGGGACAGGGATCGAGAGTAAAAAATACAGCACTGAGGGAAATGGGGAGGCACAGCCAAAGACCTATGATGACTTTCTGGCCCATTACAACTCCCCTTTGAATAAGACTCCCTCCGGGCCAGTCCCAGAGATGCCCAGGCAGGCCTCTCTCCTGCTTTACAGGGAAGCAGCCTGGTTGTGGGGAGGGGACAGTGCAGGGACAGCACATGGCCACAGTCGGGGCTCCTTCTCCAGAGAGCTTCCTTTCCCCTGTACTTTGTGACCCACAGGCTGGATACCCGGTGCCCCCAGGCTGGGAGGGTGAAGCTCAGCTCTCCGTGTAGCAATGGGGGCAGGCACAGTACCTGTGCCCGAGCTCGTGGGCGACAGTGAAGGCCAGCGGCAGGCCTGTGTCCTCGTTGATGCTGCAGCTGCGGTGCGGCTGGCACATGCCCGCCACGTGGGAGAGGCCCAGGGTCTCACAGGGCCGGTTCATGGCTGCACACAGGTCCTTCCTGCACAGGCAGAGAAGCGGCCTTCAGGTTAACCTGGCCCAGTGCGAGGCCCACCTGAGCGAAGACCAGGGAAGGGTCCCCCCGAACTGATTCCAAGCGAAAAGGATGTCCCTCCCACCGTTCTGTGGCATGAGGCCAGCACAGTGGCCACGTGGGAAGCAGGTGCTCTCATTCACACACAATCCGCTGGGTATCTTTTTGGCCCTTGGGAGCACAGACCCGCACAGAACAATTTTGCTTACTATCCAGCAGGGGTGCTGACAGAAGCTGCCAGAGTCCAGCAGAGGGAAAATAACTGCCTCTGGACAGATCAGCAGTTGCCAGAGGTTAGGGTAGGAGGGAGGAAGGTGGCTGTGACTATAAACTGGTAGTACAAGACATCCTTCTGATGAGACAGATCTGTATCTAGACTGTGGGGGTGGGTAGGTGAACCCACAGTGATGAAACTGCATAGAACTGAATACACACACATTCACACAAAGGGCAGTACGTGTGGAACTAATGATATCTGAGGAAGTCTGCAGATGGTATCAGTGTCAGTTTCCTGGTTGGGATACTGTGCTCTAGTCATG